AAAACCCCCCTCCAGGGTCCTAAACCACCACCCTAGCATCCCCAACCACCACCCTAACACCCCCAAACCCCCTCCCCATTTTCCCCAAGCCCCATACCTCTCCGGTGAGCAGGTGGATGATCTCGAAGGCGTGCTTGACGATGCGCACCGTCATCAGCTTCTTGCCGTTGTTGCGGCCGTGCATCATCATGGAGTTGGTGAGGCGCTCGACGATGGGGCACTGCGCCTTGCGGAAGCGCTTGGCCGCATAGCGCCCGGCGCTGTGGGGCAGGTACTTGGCGTACTTCTCCTTCACTGCGATGTAGTCCTGCCGGGAAGTGACGTCATGGCCCGTGCCGTGAGGTCACGGGCACCACAGCCCCCGTTATAGCCGCCCAGTAAGGTTAAATGGTCTTCCCAGTATGGACTGGGAGGGCTCAGGGTCCCCCAACCAAAGCTACAACAGCCTAGAGATGTGAAATGCTATTCCCAGTATAAACTGGGAGGGTTCTGGAGGAGACTGGGCAGGATCTGAACCTCCCAGTATGGTGAAACGCTATTCCCAGTATAAACTGGGAGGGCTCTGGGGAGACTGGGCAGAATATGAACCTCCCAGTGAGGTTAAATGTTATTCCCAGTATAAACTGGGAGGGCTCTGGGGAGACTGGGCAGAATATGAACCTCCCAGTGAGGTTAAATGTTATTCCCAGTATAAACTGGGATGGTTCTGGGGATCCTTCCCTTGGGTTTTAAACTCCCAGCAAGGTTAAACATTACTCCCAGTATAAACTGGGAGAGCTCCAGGCCCCCCAACCTCAAGTTTTATACCCCCAGTGAAGTTAAATGCTCTTCTCAGTATAAACTGGGAGGGTTCTGGGAATTGCCTCCCACGTTTTAACCTCCCAGTAAGGTTAAATGCTCTTCCCAGTATAAACTGGGAGGGCTCTGGATCCTGAACCAAAGCTTTAACCTACTCAAGGAGTAAAATGCTCTTCCCAGTATAAACTGGGAGGGTTTAGGGAATAACTGGGCAAGATCTGAACCTCCTGAGGAGGTGAAATGTTCATCCCAGTATGAACTGGGAGGGTTCTGGGGGGAACTGCGCAGGATCTGAACCTCCCAGTGACCTTAAATGCTCTTCCCAGTATAAACTGGGAGGGCTCTGGGGGAGACTGGGCAGGATCTGAATCTCCCAGTGAGGTTAAATGCTCTTCCCAGTATAAACTGGGAGGGCTCTGGGGGAGACTGGGCAGGATCTGAATCTCCCAGTGAGGTTAAATGCTCTTCCCAGTATAAACTGGGAACGTTCTGGGGGGCTCACGCCAAGCCTTTAACTTCCCAGTGTGATTAAATGCTGTTCCCAGTATAAACTGGGAGAATTTCAGGGGGGAACTGAGCAAAGTCTGAACCTCCCAGTAAGGTTTAATGCTCTTCCCAGTCCAAACTGGTCCCAGTATCCCCGGGCCGCTCACCTGCAGGGAGATGTCGTTAATCTGGACATCGTCGGTGCTCCATTTCCCGAAGAGTTTGATGTCGGGGGTCTCGGTGACGGCAGGGGCCGTCTCCCAGTCGGTCATACTGGGAATGGGGATCAGACTGGGGTCAGAGAAACGCCCGCGTCCCCTCCCAGTAACCCCCAAACCCCGTAACTGGGGGGCTCCAAATCAAACCCCTTGAGTTACAAAGGGAAATGCAAGTGGCTACGGCTCCCAGTGAGGTAAAATGCTCCTCCCAGTATGAACTGGGAGGGCTCTGGGCCCACCCCTAAAGGTTTTAACCTCCCAGTGAGGTTGAATGCTCTTCCCAGTATAAACTGGGAAGCCTTCACCAAGACTTTAAGCTCCCAGTGAGGTTGAATGCTCCTCCCAGTATGAACTGGGATGGTTTTGGGTCCCCCCTACCAG